CTCAGTGGCATAAACGCCTGCCTTGCAAGTGTGTGGTCATGAGTTCGATCCCTGGTACCGACAAAAAAGGAAAAAAAAAAAAACTAAAAAAATAGTGGTAGTGTATTTGCCTAGCATGCTTGAAACTCTTGGGTTATATATTCAATACAGGAAAAAAAAAGGTAAAAGGAATGAGGAAAAAATGAAATTTCGAAATAAAGTTAACTTTGGTACCCAGAACACAAAAACTATGACAAACGTAAGTTTCCCATAGTAATGTTTACCATTACTTACATACCACACTCTTGACATTCATCATCATTTTTTAAATTGTTACTGTGATTCACTAAACTGAATTCACAAGCCATTATTGGGTCATAATCTAAGAGGAACTAACAGTCACATGAAAAGCCTCGCTTTCCTCTGAATATTTGTCTTAAGAAAATTATAAGGGGGATCGGGGATATAGCTCAGTGGCACAGCACCTGCCTAGAAAGCATGAGATCCTGAATTGAATTCCCAGTATGAAAGAAAGAGAGAGAGAGAGAGAGAGAGAGAGAGAGAGAGAGAGAAAAAGGAAGGAAGGAAGGAAGGAAGGAAGGAAGGAAGGAAGGAAGAAAGAAAGAAAGAAAGAAAGAAAGAAAGAAAGAAAGAAAGAAAAAAGAAAAGTCAAGTCCAAGGACAGGGACAATGTCTTAATGCAAATAATAATCAGTTTGTTGAATGAATATATTTTGGAATATAAAGCACTCTCAAGATAAAGACAGACCTACAAAGATCATCTAAATTTTTAAAAAGGCTTTTAAAAAATGAATATTCTGGATGTCTTCAAAGCTAGAGATAATAAAAAGTTCTGGAGGCAAAATGTGATAACAATTTTTTTCTTAAATAAAGTACGAAAGGTGGGAAAAAAATTCCTATTAGGAACTGGGGAATATATAGCTCTGTGGTAGTAAAGTATATACAAGCACAGTTTTTGGTTCAATCTCCAGTACCCCTCAAACAACAATGAATACAACTCACATTAGTATTAAATAATACATATGTATTATTTAATATTAATTTAATAAAGTAAAATATCCTTATAATCAACCATTTCTCTAAAAATATGTCATTCTAGACCAGGGATATAGCTCAGTGGGGTAATCACTAGCATGCACCAGGCACTAGTTTTAATCCATAGAACTGCAAATGTCAGATTCCAAAAAGTACACACACACACACACACACACACACACATATACAGACAAATAAATTCTGAGTATGTGTGCTAGGATCAAATCCACAGGGTAGGCAAACCCTCTACCACTTAGCCACATCCCCAGTTCCTGCATGCCATTCTTGGTTTGTTTGTTTGTTTGTCGTGGGTTTTTTTTCACTTGTTATATTTTGTTTTTGAGACAGAAACTTGCTTTGTAGCCTAGGCTGGTCTCAAACTCATGATCCTTCTGTCCCAGTCTCTCAGTGTTCGGAATACAGGCATGTATGACCACACCTTCCTTCATTCTTAAATGTTAAGACTTCCTATACTCATTCATAAACATTTATTAAGCAGCTAATGCATGACAGCCAAGAAGTTTTTAAGTGCTTATTATCTACCAGGTAGGGTCAGGATATAGCTCAGTGGCATAGGATGTAGTTCAGTGGCAAGCACAAAGTCCTGAGTTTGACTCCTAGTATTAAAAAAAATGTTAAAGAAACACAGCTAATAAATAACAACGTTAAGATAATACTAAATCATGCCGGGGGTTTAGCTCAGCGACATATGCACCTGTCTTGCAAGCGCACAAATACTAAGTGCCAGAAAGTTTTGTTCCATTTTATTATTTGATTATTTTCCCCCTCAGGAACCAACGTTGTATGTCTTTAAAATGTTGCAGTAATTCACCTACATCCTAACTTGCATAAAACTATTTGATCAAATAATTTATCAAGAAGAAAAAAACTGGCCTTTTTTCAGCTTAAAAGTTAAATTAGAGTACAGTTAAATCTAGTTACTTGGACTTTTTTTTTTTTGAAAACAAAGTTGGCCTCAAGTGATACTCCTGCCTCAATAGCGTTTTTTTTTTTTTTAAACCACAGTGTACTATTATCACTATGCAAGGTACTTAGTAACTTGTACTTTAATTCATAGGCCAGGTACTTACATTCTGAGCACTACTCCACCTTTTATGGACCACTTAATTTTTTTACTAAATGGAAGGAACAGCCTTGCCAGGCATGGCGGCACATGCCTATAATCCCAAAACTCAGGAGGTTGAACAGGAGATTCATGGAGAGTTCAAGGCCAGCCTAGGCTACATAGTGAGTTCAGGGCCAGCCTAAATTATACAGGGGGACCTTGTCTCAGGAAAAAAAAAAAAAGGAGGAAGAAGAGGAACAGCATTAAACTGTATTTCAGAACAAAAGTTTGCTTCTAGCACAAATGGGACTGAGAAATAACCTTTGCTATATAACAGCAAAACATCTTAACATTTTAAATGCTTCTAGCCCCTTCACACTTTTTTTCAAACAATGTTTTAATTCACAGATTTGTTTTAGAAGACGTGAGATTTCTCTTAATGAAATTAAGTATCAATTTTCATATATAACTTCAAATACTTTAACCCAACAATGGAATACAATGGGAATAGAACACTACAGGTTGTATCTTCTTATCTCCCAATCCCTCTCCCTTTATTTCACCTCCCCCACACCACCCCATACAGAAGACTGAACTTGGGGTCTTTGCACTGAGCCACCTCCCCATCCCTGTTTCGAGGTACCCAAAACAAAACCAAAAAAAAAAAAAAAAGTCCCAATTTCTATAAAGTAATACAACTGCAATTAATTGTTTTAAGTAACAGACACAGCCAGACAAAGTGCGGGTCCACAACTGCAATCCTAGCTACTTTGAGACCGCAGGTTCCACACCAACCTGAACAATGTAGGAAGACCCTGTCTCAAAAACATCTGGGGATTTAACTCAGCTGTGAAGTGTCCCTATGTTTGATTCAACATACAAAAGACATTCCTGATAAACAAAAAGATATAAATAATTGGTTTTAATATACAAATCAATCAAATGCAAAAGAAAAATTTCCAGGTAATATGAAAAACAGATTAATCTTAACTCTAATTTCAATTCAGCAGTTGGCCCTTAGATAACTTCTGGACTTACTAAGTATTCACATGTATTAAGAACCATCAAATTATTAAATTATTCATATACAGTCTGATACCCTGTAACTAATCCATTTCTTTTTTTGTGTAATGACATGCAGATCTTGATAAAAAGCTTATTTTATATTAACACACTCAATTGGTTGCCGTGTTCAGTTATCCAAAAAATCCATATTATGTAAAATACAACAGTCAAAAAAAAAGAAAATTCAACAGACATTTTCCATTTAGTTCAACTCTGTTTGGGGTCTGTATACTTGCTCCCTCTCTTTAAGCCTCTCAGAGGCCTGGCGATGTGGGTCAGTGGGAGTATTTGCCTTACATATAGAAGGCCCTACTCTGATACCCAGCACAGCAAGGAAAAGAGAAAAACTCTCAGAGTTTAAATTTATTTGAGATACTATTCTTTAGTTTGGAAGCAATGTTTTGTTACTGTCACGATAATCTTAGCCTATTAAAGAGTTGATTCTCACAAATTCTTCCATGTGTAAAATACAAGAAATATAACAAAATTAACAAATCAAGTGTCAGAATGCCAAAAATTAAGTCATTAAAAGAGAATTCAGAGAAAGAGCCAGTTGTGAAAGAACAGGAAGTGTGTACACTGTCATTTTCTAGACGAACTATTTAAAAACATAAGAAGTTCCATACTCATCTGGAATTAACCCAGACTAATCACTCAGTCTTCTCTTTCTGACAGTGCCATTAGAAGTCATCTGAAATAACCCCCAGGCAGTTTTCCTTAATAATAAACTTATCAAATTGATCATGAACACAATTTTAAAACTTTTTAGAATCCCTACTAGCTATGGAAAACCAAGTTTTTTTTTAGCTATCCTGGCAAGTAGTACTTCTTAGTTCTAGTATGCTAACATATATCAAGTAGTTAACCAAACCCTATCTACATTCTGAAAGTTTGTAGCTTAACTGATAAATCCTGTCTTCCTGCATCTTTCCAAAATAAAAGCAGTCACTCTTTACTGAGCAGTATGTTTGGATTTACATATGCTAACATATAAGAATTCAATATCAACAAATCAAAATACAGAAAATTTGTGTTTATGGGTATAATTTGTCAATTAGGAGAAAACTCTGCACATCACAATGTGCAGGTCTGGGCCATGAAATAAAGATTTAAATGAACAGTGCTGTTTAAGTAAATTAAGATGAACATCTAAAGAAAATAAAGGTAAAGCAAATTCTATTGTGCAGAAAAAATAAAATACATCAGCATCATGGAATAAGATGACACAAACTAAATTAGTGCCTAGCACTGTTGTTAACATCTTTTAAGTCTCTGTATTCAAACAGGTTTCAAAATGTAATGCACCATATACAACATTAAATGACAACATAATGCAGAAGCATTTTTAAATAATGCTCTAATGAAAGTTTAAATACCACATACTACTTGTTAATAAAATAAGACAACTCATCTACAACATAGTAATTTCCATCACTTTGTGAAAAATTACTTAATTCTACCAATATTCATATATGGAACATTTTTACATCACTAGTAAATCCCAATACTTGAAGAAAAAAGGTACTGGCAGCCCATCCAGAATACTTTAAGATTTGAAAACTACTTTTTAATCACAAAGAAGCACTTGTTAATTTTATTTCCACTCCTAAAGACAAAATCAACAAGTACAACAGCAATTCAGATTATGTAAAAAGTATGTATGACATGTGCAAGTCAAAAATATGACTACAGAACACAGATCCATCATAGTGTAATTAAGCAGATTAGTTTACTGTCCTGCATTTCCTTAAGAAACAGCGTTTGCTAGGGAAAAGATCGTTCCCAATCATTTTCAGAAAATCCCAATTTTAGTATTACACAAAATAGTATTAACCTTAAAAACTCACAGCCCAGGGGCAAATGTCCATCAGACAGTCTCTCTGTATGTAATAATCTCTAATAATTTCTTCAAGAACTACAAAAGGCACAGGGAGAAAGAAAAAGGAAATGAGAGGCTACAATTATTTTGTTTGAATCCGAATAAAATTTTAACCTGTTCAAAAAAATGTCAATCCAGATATTTCTGTGTCAAAAAGAGGGAGCAAGACAGACATCAAGTTTCTAACATGAAAAGGGTCCCCTCGAAAGGCCACATCCCTCAACAAAAACAACAGAAGACACACTTTCCACGAACAGTTCAAGGGAAAAGTATTAATGGAACTGTTATCAATTTAAAAATCAAAGGAAAAAGAGTAACCTTTCCAAGGGAAGCGCCATTACACTTCCTCCCTCTCTTCAGTGTATACATGGATCTGTGTATGAAGAAACTGCCTTGGACTTCTGCAGCACTGCAGTAGACTAGAGATTGAGAAAGGGGGAAGGGTTGGGGGAGAGAACCGTTTCCATCACCCCTACTGAAAAGGGATAGAGACTTTCTGCGGGGGAGGGGGTGGAATCGACCCAGCGACCTACTCCTCACGCAAGTCTCCCTTCCCAAGAATACAGTACTCATAGACACTACAAAGGAGGAGCGGGAGTACAGGGACCTAAGGGAAAGGGACCTCGCGCTTTTAAATCGGGGTGCACCTCAACCCAGCCTCGCAACGAGGGCCACACCTTCCTTGAAACACAGCCTTCCACCACCCCTTCCGGTGACCCTCAGGAAAAAGGAATGTAATTGCTCTCGCTCCTCAAAACAGAAGGGCACCCAGTCACCAGCTTCTTCACCCCACCCACAGAATCACAGACCCTCCTTGTCTGCTTCCCCCACCCCACCCTCACATCCCTTCTTTCACACAGAGGCCTCAGAAGGCTGACTTTCCCCACCCCCTCCACGTCTCCCTTTCCCAAAGCAGAGGTGCCCTTACCCTTTCGCCGACAGGTCTGGGGCGGAGTAGGCAGCCCCCCGCAGAGCTCTGGTGGCCGTTACGCTGGAGCGCAAGGAGTAAGCAGGAGGGGGCCCGGAGACAGACCGTCCCCCCCCCCCAGCCCCAGCGAGCCGCCCAGCCCAAGCTCTGCGACAAGGGGCGGGGGGGGGGTTAAGGGGACGACCGGGGTCGAGGAGGCGCCCTTAGAACTCGGGCTCAGCTAAGATGGCGCGGGGAAGTGCCGGGAGCAGCCGCCGCTGCTGCTGCTGCTTGCCGCCGCCGCCTCGAAGGAACCAGCCTGGGCCTCGGCCGCTTCCCGTCTTCACACAGCCGAGGCCCTCTTGGTCCCCCGCCGCGGCCCCTCGGCGGGCGGGCCCACGAGCAGCCCTCTGCCACCACCACCACCCTTGGGAAGGGGGCGCTCACAAAGGGAAGCGAGGCCGCGGGCCGGCCGGCGGGCGGCGGGGCGGGGTCCCCAGGGGCCGGGAGGCCTCAAAGGCTCTAGGGTGCTTAGCGCTCTCAGCCCGCGAAGGGCGCAGGGCGAGCGGGACCCCTCCTCTCTCCTCAAACAGGCAGCAACACCGACTCACTCTCTTTGCCACCCTCCCTCGCTCCCTCCGAACCCTGAAGCCACAGAGCCCGGCCGCTGCCCAGGTTCCCCCCCTTCCCCAACACCACTCCCCTCCTCCAGACAGTCATTCCAGTCTCTGATCTCGCGAGGTTTCCTGCCTGACAGGCCCGACCCTGCGTGAGATACGACTGCGAGCGCGCGCGTTCTCACATGAACGCGCGAATCCTTTTTGTGGGCGGGGTATCCCGTGTGGCCAGAGCCTTGTCTTCTGTCCAGCCCCGCCTCCCTGAGCTCTGAGGTCCGGTGCAACGCTGGCGTCAAGTGCATTCGTTTCGCCTCGGAAGTAGGCAATCTTATCTGCACTTCCCCAGTTTCCCACTTTGTAAGGCGTCAGCTCCTCACACTTCTATGAATGTAAAAGTTTGCCCTGAAACGTATGAGGTCCCAGTCCTCCACATCTTAGTTCGATTCCTCCGTGGAATTCAGAGGTAAACCGGGTCTGCGAGATTCTAATAGTTTATAGTAATTTTGAAACAACTGGGAAATTACAGATCGAAGTTGCCCTGTATATTGGGGGTGGTAGGAAAGAGAGAATTTCTTCAAAAATTTTGTTGAATGATGGGAGGTTTTTTTTTTTTTTTTTTTTTAGGAACAAAAGCAGCAAACTAGAGACCCCAAAGGATCTAATACAAAAACAGTTTAGGAATCTTGAAATGTGCCTAAAAATAATCATAAAATATCGTAGGTCTTGCTTGGCAGAGCGGTTTACTCCTATAATCCCAGAGACCTGAGAAAATGAGGCAGGAGATGCAAGTTTATATCAAAATTAGTAATAATAGGGGAAGGGATGTATCTCGGTGGTAAAGAGCTCTTGAGTTCAATCCTCTACACCAAAATAAATAATCATTATTCTTTAACTAACCAACATAACTGAGACAAATCTGTTTTGTGAGTAAAAATTTACTTTGAAGAAACAATTTGTTAGGTTTTTATTTTTGTATCTGCTGCCATTTCTTTCTTTTCTTTTTGGCAGTACTGTACTAGGGATTAAACACAGGGCCTTTGCACTGAACTAAGTGCCAGTGCATTTTTTATGCTTTATTTTGAGTCAGGGTGTTGCCATATTGCTAAATGAACCAGGATGACCTCAAACTTACGGTCCTCCTGCCTCAGCCTCCCAGAGTGCTGGAATTTTAGCCATGAGCCATCAAGTCACAGCCCACACCATTCTTTAACTTACCTCCACTCTTCCCATAAATATTAGTTGCACTCCTCCTTATTCCACCAACACAAAGGAAAATTTTTTTCAAAGATGGAAATACAACCCAGGACTTCACAGATGCTAAGAAAAGGGCCATCTTTGAGTTACTCCCACAGCCCCAGAGAGAATCTTGAAGGGACCCTGATTGACTGGCTGGCTTTCTTTCTTTCTTCTTTTATTTAATTCTGTATTTGTGTCTGTGATCAGGTACTGATAGGACTCCCTTCTCAAATAGCAAGTTCTTCAAATTTCTCTTCCTCTGCCTCTCCTTGTCTCTCTCTCTCCCTCTCTTACCCTCACAGACACACAACACGCGCACACACACACACACAGAGGGACTTACCTTAACAAGTTTGTTCAATAAAACACCACTAGTAAATGCTGTGAAACTTGCTAGCTATTTCAGTTAAAAACTTACCCAAAGGGGAAAAAATAACATTCATTGGTATACAGAAAATAATGTTAATGCCTTATTGCAGATCTTGAGTTTGGGTGGATTTAACTCCCAAACATTTCTTTTTGTCCTGTCTTGACTCTCCCTGGCTCTGCAGTGGTGGTTTGGTTCTCATGGCTTCTCATCTGGGGCACTGTAATTGCCTTCTAACTGCTTTCCTTGTTCCCTCAATATACCCAATTCACTATACTAATGCAAATAGTTTTAATGCTCCTAAAGCACGGTTTCTAAAAGCTGAATGTGTCATGTCTGCAAAAAAAAAAAATCTTCTATGAATTCCCTCAAACTCTTTTATGTCCTTATTTAGAATGTTTGTACCATCCTGAGCAGTTATTCACTATCCTGCCAACTGCTAACATCCAAGACATACATGGCATTTCTCTACGTGAAATACCTTCTGTAGTTAACTCAGATCCTTCAAGACTCAGCTTACCTGACACTTCCCTTGATAGATTGCCTCATATTCCAGTCAGGGATCCTTTAAGCCTACAAATTGGGGTCAGAAGGATGTGAGGAGAACAATGGGTACCAACCATCTTTTGACCTTATTAGGAAAATTACACAAGCAGTGGCCAAACCAATAACTCTTTCCATACATTCTTATTTCATCTTCGTAACAAACCTGTGAAGTAAATGCTATTACCTCCATTTTATAAATGAAGAAACCACAGTTCCAAGAGTTTGTATCATTTGCCCTGAATCACACAACTGATAGATAGGTGGGAAGCTAGAATTGAACCTAGAGGTTTGAATGAATCCAGACCATACCATACCATATTGTATTCCCCACACCACCAACCAAGGGCAAATGTATCTGTGTGTATGTATGAGAGAGAGAGAGAGAGAGAGAGAGAGCACAAGACAGAGACAGAGACAAAAAGAGACAGTGAAGATTATATACTGAACTACTTCCCCAAACCCCTCAAAGCTCCCCACACACACACACCTTCTTTGTCATTCTGAGATAGGGCTTTAGTAAGTCACTAACCTGCCATGGCTGGGCTGCAATTTGAAATCTTCCTATCTCGTCCTCCTAGGGTGCTAAGATTACAGGTGAGTACCATCACACCCAGCTTCCAAAGACACTCTGATGCCATTTTTCTGGTATGTGAAAGAGATGCCTGAGCATGTGTAATGTCAGCGTATCTGCTGTTACATATGTGAAAACATAACTATCCACTTTGTCTTTCGGTGCACTGATTAATATGAGTATCTGTCCAGTTAAACTCTTTTCTTTTTTGTTTTTTGTTTGTTTGTTTGAGATAGAGCCTAGTTATGTGGTGCAAGTTGGCCTCAAACTCATCCATCCTTTAGTCTCCGCCTCCCAAGTGATGAGATTACAAGAGTGTGACAACACATTCAGTTTATGAAACTCTTTTCGTATTGTAAATCAGTAAAGGATTACAGAGGATTTAGCTCAGTGACACAAGTGCCTGTGTGGCAAGTGTGAGGTCATGAGTTTGATCCCTGGTACCAAAAAAAAAAAAAAAAAGAAAAAGAAAAATCAATAAAAGATTGAATCCTGCTTAAATCAATTTAACAAATACTTGTTGAATTCCTATTTTTTGTTACAATTAAATAAAATACAGGAAGGGCAAACAAAACTAATATTCACAGCAATACTGTAGGCCAAACAGTATATGAAGCAAGTGCTTTACGTTCTTTACCCTCTTAGTCTTCCCAACATCCTTGAAAGAGGGATGATAATGATGATTCTCATCACAGAAAAAGACAGCTTAGAAAAATTAAGTAACTTCATGCAATATCACATAGCTAGTAGATGAAAAACTAAAATTAGACTATAGTTTCTATATTGTAAACCAGTTTTTTCCACTGCTTTCAAGTCTCTTTTCCCAAACCTTCTTCCTATCCCACTCTCGGGAAATCAATATCCCTTAAAAAAGGACAAACTGGGTATGTGGTGCAAGCCTATAATCCCAGTACTCGGGGGACTAAAGCAGGAGGATCACTGCAAATTTGAGGCCAGCCTGAGCTACAAAATGAGTTCAAGGCCAGTTTGACCTGCATAGTGAAACCCTGTCTCAAAAAAGACAAAAAAAAATCTTATTACAGAGACAAGATCTGCATCCACAAAATATCTAAATAATGTAAAATAACCTGTGGACAAAGAATGCTCTAAACCAGATCTTTAAAAGATGTGGTATTCTTATACAATGGAGTACTACTCACCCATAAAGAAGGATAAACTTGAGACTTTTATAGGCAAATAGATGCAACTTGAGACCATACTCATAAGTGAAATAAATCAGACATGCATGTATAAACATCATATTGTCTTGCTAATGTAAGAAACTGAAAGAAAGAATAAATGTATATGTGTATACCATTGTTACCCCCTAATTATTGTGTTTTGAGATTTTTTTTCTCTTTAAAATAAAACAGATTTGAGGGCTGAGTATTTAGCTCAGTAGGTCAAGCACTTGCCTGGTAAGCACAAGGTCATGAGTTTGATTCCCAGTACCAAAAAAAAAAAATCTAAAAATTTAAAAAAAATTTTAAAAACCAAATTAAAAAAAATAAACTAGAGGCTGGGGATTTAGCTCAGTGGCATAAGTGTCTGCCTGGCAAGTGCAAGGTCATGAGTTTGATACCCAGTGCCAAAAAAAAAAAAAAAAGAAAACTATGGCCCAGAACTTAAAAGATCTGGCTGGTACTGGAGATCAAACTCATGACCTTGCACTTAGCAAGCAAGTGCTTGAGCCACTGAGCTAAATCCCTGGCCCATAGTTTTCTATCTAATGACAACAGACTAAAATGATCTCTAGTCCCTTTTAATTCAAAAAGCTGTAATCAGAGGAATGATGCAAGTAATACAGGCAGATAACTTGAATTTTGAAATGTATGTGGGAATTGTCTTTGAAACAG